TGAAGATCAGTTGTGACTTGACTTGACTCCTGAAGATCAGTTGTGACTTGACTTGACTCCTGAAGATCAGTTGTGACTTGACTTGACTCCTGAAGATCAGTTGTGACTTGACTTGACTCCTGAAGATCAGTTGTGACTTGACTTGACTCCTGAAGATCAGTTGTGACTTGACTTGACTCCTGAAGATCAGTTGTGACTTGACTTGACTCATGAAGATCAGTTGTGACTTGACTTGACTCATGAAGATCAGTTGTGACTTGACTTGACTCATGAAGATCAGTTGTGACTTGACTAGACTCATGAATATCAGCCGTGACTTGACCAGACTCAGGATAATAAACTGTGACTCGATTTGACTCATGATGATCAACCGTGACTTGACTAGATGCTGTTGTGTCCGCCATCTTGTGAGTGTGCTCCGCTGTCGCCGCCATCTTGTGAGCGTGCTCTAGAGTGGCCGCCATTTTGCGATCAGGCTCCGCTGCCGCCGCCATTTTGTGAGTGTGCTCTGGTACAGCCACCACTTCAATCACAGACATTGTGTCGCGTTCTTCCTCCGTGACACCCACAGTAAATAAAGATCCGACAGTCAACAAAGCATAATTTAAAGATGTCATTTATTTAAAGAGACATGGTATAACAGGCAGGGTCGAACAATGGCAAACAGGTATATGGGGGGCAAAAACACTAGAATAGTCCTAGGGCTAGCGTAGGTCACCGATCGGCAGACAGAATCACAGGGGCAAGACGAGAGGGAGAAATCCAGGAAAACAGGCAAAGATCAGAAACCGCAAAAACAGGCAAGGCAAAACAAGGAAAACACGGAGACTCAGAAAGGGGTACAGGCTAAACAATACTCAGCCGAGAAAGGTGGTTAGAGTGGGTGTTATATAGTGAGTGAGGTGATTAGAAACAGCTGTGTGCAATGAGTGCAAATCAGTGCAGTGTGCAAATCGTGCAAAAATAATGATGGGATATGTAGTCCGGGGTGCTATGCAACAGTTTGTGTTGTGCGAGAGTCAATGTAATGGAAAGGGTGACCTCTGGTGGTGAATAAACGGAAGTCCATGGACCGAATTCGTGACAACAGTAAAGACTTTTACATTGTTAGGTAAAAAAATCTTATTCATTCAAATAGATTTTATTATTTTGAACTTTCTATTAAATAAATAGATTAAATGAAATAATCTTGAATAAACATTGAATAAATAATAATAAGAAATATTTCCTGAGGAGCAAATCAGCATATTAGAATGATTTCTGAAGGATCAAGTGACACTGTAAACTGAAGTAATGGCTGCTGTGAACTATTATAGAAAACAGTTGTTTTAAACTGTAGTAATGTTCAGTTTTCTATCAACTGGTCTTTATTGTGAAAGTTTTCAAATAAAAATGGACAATTGCTCCTATTTTATGAGACAACAAAACAACAGTTTTGAAGAGGGATGGTAACTTTCTATGCCCACTTCATATTTTTAAGGAGTAACCACAGTGTAAAGGAGCAGAGCTGGAGTTTCAGTTTCTGCTTGGTCAAAGGGAAAGAAAACACAGAGTTTACTTTGTTTATTTACCGGGAGATGATTTCCTGAGATGAGCTGCTACTAAAACTCAATCTTGAACCCCCGTGGTGTCTGTAAACTGTATCTGTGACAGTAAGAAGTGTCTCTAAATCAAGAGTTTGAACCACGAATAACACTGCATGCTACTGAGCAAGCTTTTTCAAGCACACGGTTTATATAACACATCCCCACAGGAGAGCTAAACCCCTCTATAAGAACATCAGAATATCACTTACCCATGATTCTTAGTGAAATACAGTGTTATTTACTGAATCAGAAGCAAATTTTCCAATATTGTTGTTGGTCACTATGATAGGATTGTTTGGTGGTTTGTTTCTCAACAAGGCTCGTCTGTTCTATTCGCTTTCCACCGGTGTTTTCCTATTTATTTCCAACCATGAAAATCTCATCCATTCAGAAAATAAATATATTGTGATATGCATTACATAACAGGCAAATCTGTAAACCTGTGACGTGGAGGTTGATATGAAATGTTATTTTATGAAGGGACCTGTGAGACGGGCCAGGAAGGTGGAAGGAGGCATATTCTTTGTAAGTATTTTCAAAGGGTCATGCAGATTTTCATCTCTGCCATCTCATTAACAATCTGTTCTGCTTTGCTCTACTAAACGCATGACCTTTTGACCCACAATATGGACTTACGCAAATAAACATGTTAATGCATTTCAAGAGCTCAGTTTGATGGTGCTTTTAGTACAGTTAATTAGTAAATTCATTTCAAAATCCATGTTTTTCAGTAGATATATTAGTGTGTCTGGCAGTGGGGTTTAACTAAAGGCAAGAGATGTATACCTTTACGTTTTGATGTGCCTGTGCAATGCATTCAACATGTTTTGCTGTATGCATTAAAAATTTTGATTTCTTGTGATTGACCACACATGAAAGACAGAAAATGTTAGAATGAAAAAGTAGAATAAGTAGTATAACCACGATATCACACACAGTGGTGTCTAAAAATCTAAGACTAAGAGTGAAGTGAAAATAATTTTTAATGCATTTCTTATCACACACACACACACGCGCATGCACACATATAAATGTAGAGAATATAATTATAGAAATTATATACTTATGCAATCAGAAACATTAACATGAATTTCACAAATTTGCTAATTTGTTTAGTGACTTATAATGCAGAATACAAATTTGAATATAAACGTTTGAAAAAAAAAATGCAATACATTATTTTTCACTAAAACATGGTCTATAGTAGCGGTTCTCAACTTTTTGGATTTCATGGCCCCACTTGTCAAAGACAATATTCGAAGAACTCGCAAGGTATTCGGGAATAGAGCTATTGTGATGATAATCTCAAATTATCCGGTCCTGTCCGGTCTACTCTTAAACCAGAGATCCTTTTCATTAATCACGCTATTCTTGCCTTAATTCTCACCTAAAGAGATAATCTGTAATGTCGCATGATTGCTTGCTGTGTGTGGATGACTATTGCATTTCAAATTGTTCTTTCAACTGCTTTATGCACTCCACAAAATTTCAATCTTTTTAAAGGGATAGTTCACCCAAAAATGGCAATAATTGTCATAATTTTATAACAAGTGGTCAATCTACTCTTAAACCAGAGATCCTTTTCATAAATCATGCTATTCTTGCCTTAATTCTCACCTAAAGAGATAATCTGTAATGTCGCATGATTGCTTGCTGTGTGTGGATGACTATTGCATTTCAAATTGTTCTTTCAACTGCTTTATGCACTCCACAAAATTTCAATCTTGCCAGCTCTTTTTAAAGGGATAGTTCACCCAAAAATGGCAATAATTGTCATAATTTTATAACAAGTGGTCAATATGACTTCTGGGCTATATTTATGCCATCTGAAGTCATGCCAAACCCTAGTGACATTGTTATTTAATAATTTCTCCTTTCATGTGTGCATATCATGTATATATATATATTCACATGTGGTGCATTAAAGGGATTGTTCACCCAAACAAAAAGAGGAAGCTGATTTAATGATGACAGAATTTTCATTCTACAGTTTGAACTTTTAATATGTTTTGTCAGGTTTGAAATCAATGATGCCAAATGTTATTGGTTCTTATATTGAACAGTGTTGTTATTGTTCACCAATAAAAATATTAAAAACCAGTAAAACTATAAAAAATATTTTTTGTTAATTGAAATAAAGCTCAAACAAACAAACAAAATATTAGATGAAAAACAAACTTGAAAAAATTTAAATGAAAATTTTAAATTTAAATACTAAAATTAATAAAGTACTAATAGTATATAAATAATACTAAAATAACCATATTCTTATATTGCATTGCAATATGCAAGATTTAAATGAGTATATTCAAATCACACAAATGGAATTTGAGAGTTATAGTGGAGAGGAAGATTATTATTTGAAAGTTTACATTTGAGGAAGCTGATTTAATGATGACAGAATTTTCATTCTACAGTTTGAACTTTTAATATGTTTTGTCAGGTTTGAAATCAATGATGCCAAATGTTATTGGTTCTTATATTGAACAGTGTTGTTATTGTTCACCAATAAAAATATTAAAAACCAGTAAAACTATAAAAAAATATTTTTTGTTAATTGAAATAAAGCTCAAACAAACAAACAAAATATTAGATGAAAAACAAACTTGAAAAAATGTAAATGACAATTTTAAATTTAAATACTAAAATTATTAAAGTACTAATAGTATATAAATAATACTAAAATAACCATATTCTTATATTGCATTGCAATATGCAAGATTTAAATGAGTATATTCAAATCACACAAATGGAATTTGAGAGTTATAGTGGAGAGGAAGATTATTATTTGAAAGTTTACATTTCAGTCTGTTTGTCACATGGAGCTATCATGTGACTTCAGAAAACTTTAGTGAATGAGTCATACAGGCCACTTTTATGAAATCAGTGCACATGCCAACCAGGAACCAGGTACCCTGTACTTGTCTGTTATATGCTCAAAATTGGTGATGAATGCCTCACAGATGTTTCACCATCCCTATTCAGCCCAAACCAGAGAACGCGGTCACCATTGCTGTGTCGTCGAGGGTTCTGTTCCGCACAGAGAAAGAGCAGAAGGTGTTTGAGCAGAAGGGAATAGAGGAGTACCTTAGGTATCAGGTGGAGCACGAAAATGAGCCCTTTGCTCCTGGCCCAGCATTCCCATTTGTTAAGGTAATAATGCACAATGATATTTGAAGACTGAACAATATAATGCATTATCAAGTTATAAGTTATTTTTTTAAACAAATACTAGAGCATTACCTTAAAGGAATAGTTCATCCAAAAATGAAAATTTGCTGAAAATGTACCCTCAGCCCATCCAAGATGTAGATGAGTTTGTTTCCTCATCAGAACAGATTTGGAGAAATGTAGCATTACATCACTTGTCACCAATGGATCCTCTGCAGTGAATGGGTGCCGTCAGATGAGTTCAAACAAATGATAAATAATCACAATAATCCACAAGTAATCCACTCCAGTCCAATTAACAATTAACCAATTAACATCTTGTGAAGTGAAAAGCTGCATGTTTGTAAGAAGCAAATCCATCATTAAGATGCTTTAACTTTAAACAGTCACTTCTGGCCAAAATATGAGTCCATAATCCATAATAACACTTCAAAAACAGTGCAAAAAGTCCATTCCCTGTTGTCCTCTCACATCAAAATCCACATATTTGTTTAGAATGGTTTTGAATTGTTTTCGGTTGTATGCTTGATGGGTGCATATTTATCTCCTGATTCAGACAAGATGACTGATTTTAGGCAGAATCAACGGTTTGAAGTAAAAAAAAAAACCTTAATGATGAATTTTGTTTATTACAAACCCAAAGCTTGTACACTTGATTACTTGTGAATTATTGTGATGTTTTTGTCAGCTATTTGGTCTCTCTTTCTCTTGCTATGCAAGTGTTGTAATGCTAAATTTCTCCAAATCTTTTCTGATGAACAAACAAACTCATCTACATCTTGGATGGCCTGAGGGTAAGTCAATTTTCAGCAAATTTAGATTTTTGGGTGAACTATTCCTTTAATAGTATTGAGTGCTCACCCCGTAATCAACTGCCTACAATATAGCTTCATTTGATTAGACACTTTATTTTATGTGTTTTCTCAGGCACTGGAAGCAGTAAATAGCCAGTTGCGAGAGCTCTATCCAGATAGCGAGGAGCTTTTTGACATTGTGCTAGTAACCTACAACCATGCTCATGTAGGCATCAGACTCATCAACACCATCAACTACCACAGTAAGTAGATTGCTGACCTTCCAGTAATCTGGATTTATACTTTCCATAAAGATGTACATGGTCAGAAAGGTCCATTCTTGTAAACACGATGCTATCCTTAGGTGATCAATGCTGACAAAGAATGATAATTATTAAAGGGATAGTTCACCCAAAAATGAAAACTGTCATAATTTACTCATTTTCATGTCATTCCAAACCTGTATGACTTTCTTTCTTCTGTGGAACATAAAAGACTAAAAAGATTTGGTTAACAACAATCTTTAAAATATCTTCTTTTGTGTTTCACAGAAGATCATGAAGGTAAGTAAATGATGATTATTCATGTTAGAAAATTACATGCGTTTTGATATAAGGCAGTAAAATGTAAATAAAGGTAGCTCAGCATTAAATCATAAACAATAAAACAGTAAAATGTAGACTGCTATGCTATATTATTAATCAATAAGTCAAAGGCATGGGATACAAAGTAATGACAGGATTCTGAGGAAACAAAACTGTAAATGCAAATGTTTTTCATCAACTTTAAATAATTAATAATAACACTTCCTCCAGTGAAAAAGTTAATTCCCTGTTGTCTTTTCACATCAAAATCCACAGACATATTTGTTTCGAACTGTTTTGCACTGTTGAAAATAGTGCTTGATTTATGTATATTTCTCTCCTGATTCAGGCGAAACAGTTAGAGAACATATTATTTATAGAGGACTCTATTATATATAGAGGAACTTCACAAGACATTATTGGATGGATTGCTTGTGTATTATTGTGATGTGTTTATCAGCTGTTTAGACTCTCATTCTGACGGCACCCATTCACTGCAGACGATCCATTGGTGAGCAAGTGATGTAATGCTACATTTCTCCAAATCTGTTCTGATGAAGAAACAAACTCAAATTTTCAGCAAATTTTCATTTTTGGGTGAATTATTTCTTTGTAATCCTTTAGAATGATAATTTTGGCATTGCCACTAGTGGAGTAAATAATGACACACCATCTTTAAATGAACAGATATAATATATCAAGTTTTTATATTATATAAAGCTGAATCTCCAACAACCGGACTGAGCGTCCTTGTTCTTCAATGTAGTTGATGCTACAACAGATATTCTGTTTAATATATCTGTCTACCTTACAGGGGCCACTGAAAGGTTTCCTGGAAGTGCTCGGGAAACTTCAGAAGAAATTCTACGCTAAAGGCCACCGTCTGGACTGTCCCATCCGCACCTACCTCGTGACGGCCCGCAGCGCAGCCAGCTCAGGCATCCGTGCCTTAAAGACTCTCCGTGCCTGGGGACTAGAGACAGATGAGGCTCTTTTCCTGGCCGGGGCACCAAAAGGCCCCATGCTGGAGAAAATACGGCCCCACATCTACTTTGATGACCAGATGTTTCACGTGGAAGGCGCTGTAGAGATGGGTGCCATTGCCGCCCATGTGCCCTATGGGATTGCACAGAAATACCCTCATAAAAAAAGCACCAATACAGGAAAATAACAAAGAAAGGAGAAAATATGAAGAGCGACCTTTAAGTTGCAGACATTTTTATTTTGTAAACTCGGTTGTGCACTCATTGGATCAGGACCTCCGTATTCTTTTGCATTATGAATGAAATTTGACCAATGTGCCTCTGTTGAAGCACTGCAATGAACGGTTATTTTCATCTAAGCATATGTTTCTCAGAGATAGTTTGTTGAAATATACATGACATCAACATCAGGAATGTGTGCTGCTATTCTTATTTGTCAAGTGAATATGTAAAGTGACAAAAGAAAAAGGAGTGATACTGAAATGGTGATTACACAGTGTGTGTTTTGAATCGCACTGTATAATTCAGCAATGGACTGTGATGGTGTTCTTGTTTATTACTGTAGATGGTGTTGTGTGAGCAAAACTACAGTATTCTTTCATGTAATCTAATGTATATGGTCGTATATAATGGATGGAGTGTTAGTCTGTAATGCAATGTTAATAAGAAGCCATAATATTTTATGAGAAGATGAAATATACCAGAAAGCCATGAGTATAGTGAATGATATATTTAAAGAGATAACTGTACTTTTTTTGTTTTCTCATCTGCATTCAATATACACTACTGTTTAAAAATTCTATTCAGCAAGGATGCATTAAATTAATCTAAAGGGACAGTATACATGAAAGAATCCTGAAAAATATGTAGCAGCTTCCACAAAAATATTAAGCAGCACAACCTTTTTCATTATTGATAACAATCAATGTTTCTTAAGCAACAAATCAGCATATTAGAATGATTTTGAAGGATCTTGTGACACTGAAGACTGGAGTATGATACTGAAAATTCAGCTTTGCATCACAGGAATAAATTATATTTTAAAATATATCACAGTAGAAAAATGTTTTACAATATTATTGTTTTAATGTGTTTTTGTTCAAATAAATGCAGCCTTGATGAGCTTGATGAGAAACTTCAACATTAAAATATCTTACTAACTCCAAACTTTTGAATGATGGTATAATATATATATATTATTTAGTTTTTTTTGACAGAAAACAATTAAGTGTTGGTTACTTTTGTGTCCTGTACCAAGTAGTGGATTAGCCTAATAAAATTAGCAAAGGCCGATTTACCTGTGTCCACAGGCCTCAAATAAAAACATACACACATATTCTGCAATTTACAAAGGGAAATTAATGTATGTGAAAGGGAAAGTAAAATGAATAGAAGTGGTCACATATGTCTACAGATGTCATCCAAAGAAAGAAAAATTCCCTTGCTAGTTAATTTGTAGAAACAAAACAAATAAACCGTGCAGTATTTCTACTGAGCTTCATTACCTGCCACTCTTTCTCTCCAGATACATTTGTCATGCAGTTAATATCATTTCTTGTTTACACATAGTCCTTAGATTGGCATCTAGCACACAAATAAAAGTTATCATCATCAGAATTGGCAACTGTCTATTTCTACTTTAGGGTAGTGAAGACATAATTTCCTGCTTATGTACTGATTTGTTCACATGTCTCTTGTGCCTTGTCTTTCTGTGCTGTTTAGTAATGTTTTGCCGCATCCGTCCTATAAACATTATTGGAACAAATTATGTTGACATTAGTGTTTAGTCTGCCTCTTTAAATGAACTCTACTTGAAATGTGACATATTAGCTGCTTTCTCCATACATATACAGTAACAGGACGTTTTGTCTTTTATAAACTAATCTACCTTGATACAAAAGGTAAAAATTCAAAGAATGCAGAATTTCATGAGGACGTATAACTTTTGTGTCCATGTGCAACGTGACACAAAAAAGTCTTATCAGTTTCACCGTCAGCATATTTCCGCTACAAATGCTGTATAGACAAAAAACTAATTGCATAATAGTCCTTCAGCTGTTCCTTGTTCAGTATAAAGAATTAACTGTTTTATAAAATACAATTTTTGAGTGTATTTAAAAAAAAATGTATTTTAGTAATTCAGGCATGCACCTCCTCATCATCACATTAGGTGGCAGCAAAGCTTTATATGATCCTCAATGACAGCAGAAGATCCAAAAGCCGAGGACCTCAAAAACATTATTAATGCTACCATAATCTTAAAACATTGAGGAATAAGGAGCATTTATATACTGAAGACATTTATTATTTTGTGCATCATCCTACTGTATATAATGTATCAGATTTGCTGGAGTTTGCAGAGCGAGAGTCTAAAACAGGACTAAAAGGTATCAGTGTCCAAGCACTTGTTACGCTCAGCGAGGTTTTGAAACTAGAAAGAGAAGAAATGAATGCTTTCTCTGTTCATCATTGCTGCTGGTGCCAATTACCCAGAAACCTCGCCAAACTGCAAGTGCAAATAAACTAGAGGGCTATCAAGCGACTGTGCCACCGAGGCGCCATCGTGGTAATGAGGCCATTGTTGTCCACCCCATATGTAGTGATTGATCAGAGATCGTTTCCATTTTATTACTTTGGAGAAGTGCTGAGGAGGGACTACTGCCACCTGGCTGACTTTTTAATAGACTCTTCTCAAACACTCTGTAAATATGCAAATGAAAGTCTGCTGCTAACCAGAATTTTAATAAAATAGTCTTTTGAAAGTGACTGATTAAGAAAATCAATTCAGGGTGCATTTGAACAACACCTTCGTTTCAATTGCAAAGCTGGACTTGAATATTCAAATGAAATATTAAAGAAATAGTTCACCCAAAAATGAAAATTTGCAGAAAATGTACAGTAAGGCCATCCAAGATGTAGATGAGTTTGTTTCTTAATCGAAACAGATTTAGAGAAATTCAGCATTACATCACTTGTTCACCAATGGATCCTCTGCAGTGAATGGGTGCCGTCAAACTGTTGATAAAAAACATTGCAATATTCCACAATAATCCACAACACGAGTCCAATTCATCATGGTCATCTTGCATGTTTGTAAGAATCAAAGGCATGGATGCAGATAGAGATGTAGTCAAAGACATTTCCAATACTGAATAAAACAGTCCAAAACAGTTCTAAACAAATATGTGGGCGGATTTGGATGTGAGAAGACAACAAGGGATGGACTTCTTCACAGAAGCAACATCTTGACGGATTTGTTTATTACAAACATGCAGCTTTTTGCTTCACGAGACATTAATTGATGGTCTGGAGTCATGTAAATTTCTCCAAATCTGTTCTGATGAAGAAACAAACTCATCTACATCTTGGATGGCCTGAGGGGGAGTACATTTTGTTCATATTATCATTTTTGGGTGAACTATTTCTTTAAGAAAAGGTAGAACTGCTGTTGTATTATTTTCCATTCTATTGACAAATTTAAATGAATGAGGATACATTTTATAAACAATTTGCCTATTGAGGCACTTCAAATTGATTATGTGTGATCAAGCTCACAAAAATTGAATTCTGCCTGCAAAATTGATGGTGATGCTGAAACTATTTTGTTTGCTTGGGGAAAACCATGCTGTTATGCACTCAGGAAAATAAATTCATGTCTTCCTTCCTGAAGTTCTGCAGTTGGTTCATTGTGCACTGGCGTGATAAGGGTCTCATAGAGTGGAACATTACAACTTGAGGCAAATTTGTGGTTTTTGATATGCCTGTTTTGTCAGAGACACAGTAAAATTGCATTTTATGTTGAAATAATAAGCATCGAATTTTTTCAGCATGCAAACAAATCTAAGCAAAAAGGAGCTCGCTAGATACTTTTGACAGCTGCTCTGTTATGACATTTGCCAGGCTTGGCTAATTAGAGTGGCTGTAAAAATGCACAATGCAGGCATTAAAGCATTTTTAGTCAACAAGATGTTAGCGATTCTGTGTGCGTTTTGGCAGTTTGTATGTGCTGTACTTGCACCATTACATCCTGTAGTATTAGGCTGAATCAGCTGTGATATAATGGGTGCGCGATTATGACCAATTTATTACGAGCTAGCGAGCTGAAGCCACATCTAAACCTGGTGCAGACAGATGGTGAGATGTGCAGTGAACTCATATGATCTGCCAGCCACAATGCAAGGTCGCCCTCTCCCTCAGCATGGCTTCACTTCAGTTAATCATGCTGTGCCTATATGCATTCAGACCAATGTTTTAGCAAATATTCCACAGGAAGAACATATTCTCATCAGATAGGCTGCAGCAGGTTCTGTATACACTTAATGTTTAATATCCTGTTTGAAATCGATAGCCTCTTGGCTCTTTGATGGTAGCCAATGAATTGGCCTTTGTGGCAATGAGGTAATAGTGAGGTAATTGCCAGACTTTGAACTAATAACAATAATTAGACTCTAACAGTAGCTGCGGAAATTCATTAGGGAAAATGTGGGAGATTTGACGGGGTATGGACCCAGGGAGTTAATCATCATTATAATCCAGTGCCACGACTGACCACAGAATTGGACTGTAAAGGGAATTTGCTGTTGTTTTTGCCCTATTCTTTATGATTTTCTCCACATTAACATATGCCATCATAAAATTATAGATAGAAAAATTACAACAAACAAATAAACATAAAATATATGTGCACAAAAAGAGGTGCCACTTGTTAATATTATTTCCATGTACTGTAGATATCTCCATATCCAATCTCCATTTCCAAATTACAAGCTACTAATTTTTTAAGCTCTCTAACTAATAATCAGTAGGTTACACAATACTAAGTAAATACAGTAAATAAATAGATATATGACTATGGCTAAATTAAAATCACATCATTAAACTTAAACGGATACATTTACAATAATCAGAATGATTTTATTGTCATTGCACAAATTGTACAACGAATGAGAGCAGCAACACTTACCACTGTAAATATTTGGTAGAAAAAGACAAAATGTTGCACTGGATTTTTTTAGGGACTCGTTATGGCGAGTCATTTTGTATTAACTGATTCATTTACATGAATTTTCTTGACGAACCGATGAACTGAATCTGACTTCTGAACTTTGCCAGTAAGAGTAAATATAGTTAGAAGACCACGCAAGGAGATTGATAATATAAGATATTTATCCTTTTGCACATTTGTTCATCTTCATCTCGTTCTCATGCCATCTCATTCGCGTAGAACTCTTTTAAGTAGTCGATTCGAATTCTGCCAATTTTATTCATGAAACCACAGAACATTTTGAACCAATAACCTGAGCAGTAAACGCCATGTGACTCACTCTCTGAATCTGCAGGAAAAAACGGCACAGCACAGCACCACTCATGTTTTTAACACCGTCCAAATAAGAATCGAACACTGGTAAAACATGAACTATTTTATCAAAACTTTAGCGATATAGATGTTGCTTAAAGAAACGTACTTCTCAGAAAACAAGGCTAGTTTTGGCTGGCTATGGAGTAGCCATGGGCGTGTAGTTATATTATCTACCAGCAGGGTCTAATGAGGTCATGTTAACCAGGTAAACCGTTTGTCACGCTTGATTATTACTTCACTGTATTGTTGGGCAAAGTTCATTATAGCGATAAAAGGGAAGTAACATAGCGTTTTAATACGCTACAAAGCTACACGTTTGGAAAAAAATAACTTATTACTAGAAAATGTGCCAGAATCCCCTAAAAGCCAACCAACAGACAAGCTTAGGCTGTTTTTTTTATATACGTATATAAAAGTAGTTTAGGTCCTAGATCTCCCAGTTCTCCCTT